ATTGGAGGTGGCGAGATTTAAACCTGGATTCTGACTTATATTTGGAGGACTGTTTTGCATAGGGTTTTGGGGAGGTATGGGGGGCTGGGATTGTGTTTGTGGCGCGGCTGCCAAAACAGGAGGTCTGGTGCGTTCTGCGAGCATCTTCGCCATTTGCGCCTCCATGCCAGGGCGGGCGGAAATGGGAATGCTCTGAAATGGATTCTTGTTCCCTAGATTGGCTCCTGCCAAGTTTGGGAAGGAGCCGCTCGCAGTATGCGGCTGAATAACTTGATTCTGGCCTGAAGGCCCGGTGTTCGGAGGTACCATGGGAATATCTGTCTGCTCCTGTAATGCTCCTGGTTGTTGCGTTTGCCCCTGATTCATTGACTGTTGGTTCAATGGAACGCCAGATTGGTTTGGAGGGGCTCCACCATTTGTTTGTTGTATCTGTTGCTGCTGCCTCCGCAGCACCTGCTGATACACCGTCAGAAGTTTTGTTCGATTCATGAGTTTCTGGTTGATGTCCGCTTGCATCACATCGAGTTCCGCTTGTGGTTTTCCTGCCACGCGTGCTTGCTGCAAGGCCATGGCTCCAACACGGCAATCGTTCTCCAGTGCGCGTATATAGGCCGTAAGTTTTATAGGATCAATATTCTGGCTAGGAACGCGGGGTGGAGCGGTTTGAAGTTGCGGTGGCGGTGGCGGTTGCGATGGGATCGGCGGCGGAGGAGGAGCTGGAGTCGGAACCGAGGGCTGGGGAGCGGTCTGATGCTCGGGTAACGGTGGCGCGGGTGGCGCGGAAGTAACACTTGCAGGACGCGATGGGGATTTAGTTGTATTTGTTGCGGCGGGGGGAGTAGCCGTTGATATCGTTGATGTCTGCTCTCGAGATGTAGAACGTGGTGGCGCTGGCTGTTGTTGTGGGTCTACACTGTCTGAAGCCGCACGCTTCTGTGGGACTACATAAAATAGAATCGCTATATGTAGAATCATCCCTTTGGGTAAAAACACTCACCAACTTTGATATCTTTCGGTGGAAGTCCTGAAAACAATAGTTTGTGGCATGGCTTCATAAGGCTGATCCAAGCGGGATCCGGCGTGCGAGATATCTTGTCAGGCACGTAAAATTTCCATGACAGAGGAAAGTAAAAGCTTTCACTCACATGTTTGTAAAGCTCCTGCAGCTCGGGTATAGACCGCGTAAGAATCATATTGCACCTAATTTTCCTCTAAAATAGTAATAATAAAAAAGAGAGGATTAACAGCAAAAAATCTGTTGATAAGTTCGACTGACCTTATGTAGTTCAGATGGTAAAGAAGCCCACGTTATGGTATCTAATGCAGGATTCGTGTTCCATGAAGGTTTTGTGGCCTTATTGGGCGAGGAAGAAGCGATATGAATTAAGTAGTAACTTTGATCATACATGAGAGTCTCTTTTTGAGCCTCGTTTGGTGGATGAGATCGAAGAGGGTCCTGCAGGGGTCTTGTTCCGCTGGCGGCGTCGAACATCTACCCACAACACATTCAACAAAGGAACTAACTATTCAAAAGTAGGTTCTCACTTCCAAAACGGCGACGTATCCTTCAAGGACAGCCATTCCTCTACGGCCACCAGATGCAGTGCGACCTAAACCTAAGGACGCTGGATCATCCTTAAACTCCTTGGTGAGTTGGAGGACGGGGGAAAAGAAACGCCTAGCGAGGATGGGGTTTGGGTGAACATACGAGTCCGAATATGATACAAAGCCTATGCGAAGCTGAAATAGTTATGAACTTCGCTCCAGTCCAGTGACAAAATAAGTGCTACTTACATCGTTCTTGCTGGCCTTCGCAGCGCCAGCCGACGCTATGCGTTGCAGTAATGGAGAGACATAGGTCAGGAGAACATCATTCCACTCGTGCAATACGGCTACAGACGACTCGACGAGACAAACAACAAGTATTTCTTGTCGCACATTGGCCATAGGTCCAGGTACCAAACAGTTATGTAAGCGCTTCATGGACGACTTGGTGGCCAACGCTCTGAATTCACTGTCTGATTCTCAGACAATATTTCTCCAAAATTTGCCGAAAGCCGAGCTGCATGCTCATCTCAATGGCTCCATCCCTTTGTCCTGTCTCCAAACTCTTGCTCGTGAGCTTATAAGGTCGGAGGACTTGTCAACTACGGTCACCATAGGTCTCCGGGCTCTTGAACGTGGATTTCAGCTCAATGCCATTGCCGATTTTTTTTCGTTGTTTCCGGCCATATACGCATTGACATCCTCCCCTCAAGCTCTCGCTACCGCTACTCGCGAAGTCCTGTCACATTTCCTCCTTCCGGGATCTTTAGGAGAGCCAGCACAGTGCAAGTACATGGAGCTTCGCACAACACCCAGAGCAACGAACCTCATGACTCGCGAGGATTATTTGAACGCAGTCCTCGACGAGCTGGAAAAATACCCACCAGAGAGTGCGGCTCTGATTGTAAGCATTGACCGCCGTATGTCGCTCCAGGATGTGCAGGAATGTGTGGACGTAGCCATTTCTCTTAGGAATCGAGGCAGAAGAGTGTCCGGGATCGATTTGTGCGGTGATCCCATGGTCGTTACGATCCAGTATGTTGCTATCGTGTCATGACTCATATATATATTTGCGCAGGCTGGCAACATGTCTACCTTCCTGCCCGAATTCACTCGAGCTAAATTAGCTGGCTTAAAGATTACCTTACACATTGCCGAGGTTCGTTTTGCGTGCCGATACCTGTCGCTGCAATTCTCTTTGACACATCCAGACTGTTGAAAATACGGAAGAAGATACCCTCATGCTCTTGTCCTTTGGTCCATCACGCCTTGGTCACGCCACCTTCCTCTCCTCAACGGCGCGCGATATCGTGCTGCGAGAGAAGATCCCGATTGAGATTTGTCTCACTTCCAATCTACTGTGAATATTATTTTCCCAATATTCGTTTGGTCATATATTGATTTAAAATAGCTGTAAGACAGTGAAGACTATTGATGCACACCATGTGCGTTATTATCTAGAACGTAACCACCCCATAGCCATCTGCGTTCGTAGTTCGTGAAGAAATTCACTCCTTGTGAAAAGGCTGACCATACATTCGCATTAGACTGACGACGTTTTACTATTCCGCAACTCATTAGTTGGAGAGTATGCTTTACTTATGGCCGCACCACCCTTGGGCCTAGGACTTAGAGAGTTAGAAATAACGAAGATAGCCAAGATGGGTTTCTCCTCAAGCTTCCAGTCGCCCTTCACGGATTAGATTGATTATTGGGGTGTTTGTTAAGTGGAGGTTTTAGGGATGAATCCCACCAGTGCCTTCTAGATGACTCCGAGCGCTATGATAACACAATAGGAGGATCTTGATACTAATACACGGGAAAACTTGGATCTACGTCGCGACTCCAACTTCTTAGACCCCCTATTAAATCTTGTATGGTTCGGCCAGTAGCCACAGATCTCAGCGCGTCCGCGGCGATTTGGGAATCGTTTCCTAACCGACACACGAGATACGTGGGTAAGTCCTCTCCAGCGTTATCAATATAAGATGCCGGCTGCGCGACAAGCTCAGCGAGAGGAACATCTTCGTGTTCAACGAACAATGAGGAAAGAAAGCGGAAAGGTGTACGAGAAACACGTACTGGTGGATTTAGGGAGATGGCATATTCCGAATTCCACGGGAGATCGCACATCTATAACGCGCGCGCGACCGCTTATCAATGCTTCCTGCAATACCTACACAACAAGAAAAGGTCGTTACGAGCTAACGTATTGGCAACAAAGCCATCTGACTTGCCTTCCCTTGAACTCGATGTCCCGACTGCCCTGCCTGGAGACCAGACGCCTCGAAATCCGGCACACGACCACCGCAAAACGTTACATAGTCAATTTCCTCGATCTTGCCAAATTTTCTCCCATCCTTGCCGCATGCAGGACATGTCGGTCGCCTGTTGCGTAGCTTCGCACATCGGAAAGGGGGAGTAGACAGAGCAGAAAAAATTAGTAGCGAAGGACGCCTGTCTTTATAAAGGTGAGAAGGTAAGATACACTTTGTTGGTATTGAAACAAAGATACAGGAAAGATTACCATGGAGGCCCGTAATCAACCTGATGCATTCCAACGCCTGTAGGTTACCGATTGTTCCTGTGACCACACCTAGCACGCCAGTATCTTCACACGTTCCAATTGTTTCCAGTGCTGGGGGTTTGGGATAAAGACACCTATAACATGGTCCATCGGAACCAAGATTATAAATGCAGAGTTGTCCGTCGAATTTCATTGCCGCTCCGCTCACAAGCGGTTTTCCGAGTGCCACAGCGACATCCGAAAGGAGATAACGAGTTGGTACATTGTCTGTGCAGTCCAAAATGATATCGTAGTTTCGAAGAAGACCTCGCGCATTTTCTGAAGAAAGATGTATATCATGGACGATGGTGGTGATTTTGGAGTTGATTCTTTGGGAAGGCTGAGACAACGGAAAAATGCAAAACATATTAAATCGCACTCTTTGAGAGCAATCTCCGCAGAACGAGCTTTGGACATGCCGATTCTTGCTTCCGTATGCAGAATTTGTCTTTGTAGATTCGAGACGTCGACAGTATCGTAGTCTACAATACCGATTTTTCCTGAAATAAGTAGGCCTTAGCGACTGAATGCGAGAAATAGCAAGGAAAACCTAGTGGTAACCTACACCTGCCGCAGCAAGATACTGCAGTGCTGGGCAGCCAAGACCACCTGCCCCTACCACCACCACTGCGGATTCACGTAGCCTTAGTTGACCTACAAAGCAGATATGAATCTAGCTTCTAGGATTGAGTAATGATTAGCACCTGGAAGACCAAAGCCATCCAAAATCATTTGTCGACCATAGCGCCGGTAATCCAGTAGAGGGAGGGGGGATGAATTGTTCATGGTTCCAGCGCGAAAGTGATGAGAGAAGATTAAGGAGAATGATCAGGGCGAATTGTGGGCAAGGTGCAAGGTCGTGTGCTATTATAGAGGCTTGTTCGTAGTTGCCTTCTTAGCTCAGTTGGTAGAGCGCGTCACTAGTATGTAAATATGAATGACGAGGTCGGTCGTTCAAATCGGCCAGGAGGCATCATTTTATTCAATCTTCTTTTCTCTAGTAAATGTATGTTGTCTGTTTGTTGATTGAACATGCTCTGGTAAGCTCACGTCTTTTTTCTAGCTGGCTCACTGGTTGCCCAGGGAAAGGAAGATGCTCAATTCATAACTAGTCTCTTGTACTCACCATCTGCAGTGCCTCCGCACCATAGATTGATAATCGGTTCAAATTCTTCCCATAGTGAGCTTACCGACATCGTTTCAACTCGGGCACCGCCTTACCTGAGGGAATCTCCATCGCCCTAGTTTCGCACTACAAATACATAGAAGAGCTATTGATTGCACACTGCGGTGGTTTTTTCTGACCTATAAGGGCTCGATCTCCATGCCTCACGATCCGAGCCGATGGTTGATATCACTATCAGTATATGCCCAATGTGTTTAAACGCATAATCCAAAACAAAAATATGAACAGAATACGAAGGTGTGAAGGACTCTGCATTATGTGAGACTTGTACTCTTCCCTGAAGCCATTGTCATCAAACATGCTCGTTTTGTATCACCGGTGGAGATAAAATGTGCCACGCTTGCAACACCGACTGCGATAATCCCAAGTTCAGTCGAATCGATGAACATCTAGGCGTATGAATACGAACCCTCTGAGTGCCGAATACGAGGAACGTTGCAAACACGTCTAAGATAGTAGAAAGTTAAATTATGATTTGATGTTAACTCCAATGGGCTCACCCATGGCCTCAACAACTTGTATCGCATTTATTATGCTCTGTCTATACGAAAAACCCTTCCATGGACTCAGCTTGGCCAGCGCTGTCAAACTATGTGAAAAAGTAAGAGCTTCCGAGAAATCGCAAGCCAAACCGATATCTTACATGATAGGTGATAATTGAAGGAGGCTGAATATGAGAAGCCTCACAGCCTGATGTCCGTTCGCACGATAGCATACGCTGCGTCTGACAAGGCAGACGGTCCAGACTGTAAAACCATGTGGTATCAGCTGTTGCGAAATACGATACACAGGTAATAGGGGGATTCCGACTTTCAAAGACTATGGATAGTATAGTACACGCGGCAACAAAGAAACCGACCTGCTTTCGCCTGTGCAAACATTAAGGGAAGCGCGACACGCTACATGAAGCGAAAACGCACGCGGGAACAACTTCTGATTGATTTGTACAAAATACGAATGGAAGAAGCTTCACGTCTGCAGACGAAGCCAGAGAGCCCTATATAGGAGCATGAGATACGCGTTTAGTAGGATTCTACCAACGCATTATACCATAACGTACAGTTAGAGAGGCTATACACCAGCTTGCGCACACCAAATAGGGCGTAAGAAGTAGCTAGCTAATTGAGAAAGCATCATATCATGAGCATAACATCTCAGACGGTGAAAGTGCGATACAGACAAGACATTTGAGGTAAAAATGTTTCTGGAAGATTCCCACCTCAGGCTTGCCTTTAATCATAGTTCTCAGCTCCAACCATAGCTGTCAGTGTGTAGGATAAACTGTTAGCCATTGCTCACTACGTTTTGCATGATCAAGATTTACCTGGATGGTGAGAATAGTTAAAGCAGTCCCGAACCTATAGTCTTAGTTGATTAGTGTTGCGCGTACGATGTGTAAATCAAGCGACTCACATTGGGGCGACACCATCCATTAAAACAGATTGGACTAAGCAGATCCTAGGCACTGTTATTAAATCTTGCTGGCCAGTCAGAAATCTTCGCATAACCGGAAATATCAAGATAGAAATTCTGTGGTTTAGACATAGATGACTTACAGCAGAAGGGCTGGGATAGTAGCCAGAAACATTGTTAAAAGAAAATTCATCAAGAATGGATTATTCCTTTGCGGTAGGGATTTAACCAGGTAAAAGGTGCCAAGGAGAAACAATAAGCTCCATTGTCCGATGAAAGCGAGACTGATCCACGTTGCTGCGATTGTGGATACCATCGAAGGAAGGGGAGTCAGTTCGGCGGTGGGTGATCGAACGTAAGCGGTTTTTTTTCTTATCGAAGTTACTGTATCTGAATCCGGAAAATAACTGCAATTGAAATGCATCGAAGTTAGTGACGATGGCGGAGGGTAAGCGGATTAAAACAAGAAAGTACTGCTTACCTATGTGTGTGATGGAGGGGTTCCTGACCTGTACGAAAAAAATACTTAGTAGGCTTTCCGATCTCAAATGGATAAACCGAAGGGTATAGACTGGTATAGATTAGTTAGAGGTTTGTCAAGGAATGAACGGAAACAAAGCGACAAGGAGGTGAGGATGATTTACTTATATAAATTTTGGCATGCCTAGCTCGATTGCGCCGAGAGCGCAAATCCCAAGTACTTGATTAAGATCTCCGAGTCTGCCGTTATATTAGTCGAGAATGGAACTCAGGTCGGCCGCAATGCAGAAAAAATACAATTCATTGAGAACCCTTTCCTATTTGCAACGCAGGCTTAGAATTTTGGGATAGACTTATCCACTCTCCGCTGATTGTGATGGGAGCCCCCGTCAGAAGACAAACCCAGGACTTCTATATAAATTCATGCTTGTTGAGAGACCCGGGTTGCTGCATAAGAAAGTTATGAAGATGCAACCAGGATCAAGGTACGGGGTCAAGGTCACCTGCAGGGCCTTCACTCAGACAGTAAATCTGATCCTCGCAGCCGCTACTACACTCATTCCCTGCGGTTTGACAGCTGGGCTTTCAAGTACATGAATCAATGCACGAGCAAATAAAACACGAAGGATTTGGCCGGATAAGATACTGTCATGAATCTTTATTTTCAGATGGGAAGAACTTGAAGCTTGAAGCTTGAAGATCTTGCTTGCAAACGAGATGGATCTGCGAATTGTCGTGAACTGTGGGTGCCTGATTCACCGCAGTCGACATCTAAATAGTAAACGGACAAGTCTAGTCCCTATTCAACCATTGACATCTGAACCCAACTGCTGTAGTTTGTTGCAGTTGCTTTCGACGTGGATTTTTTTCACCAGATCCCGACTTAGGGGTGACTAGAAGAAAAGCAAATGAGTGTCGAAATTTTGTGCATGCTTACATCATACGACGTATGGTTCCATACTCCGACTAATTTTTGGCGCACCAACAGAGCTTCGTTCCTTACTACAACAACCTCTGCAACCATGGGTGTGTTTTCTTGCTACTACTCCATTCGTTGTTCACCTACCCATTTGTCATGTTTTAGCACCCAAAAAAGGCCAAAAGATGTCGTTAAATGCCTTCCTAGAGGACAACAGTGAGTCCCATTAGCGTGCTTGTCGTTAGCTTCCTAATTACCCATCCACTTTCCTCTAGCCCTAGGATCTTGGGCAGACGAGATGGATGCGCTTCCCAGCGCCCGTGAGTCTGTGTACCGCATTCCTGGCGTTAATTAAGCTTGCGTTCCCAGCGGCACCCCGTACCGACGAGGAGCGAGCCAGAGAATTTGGACGTTCAGATTTTTCCTCGCGACGTGCGTAAATATATCTTTACTGCCGTAATTTTCCCAATAATATCGTGCGATGTAGCCGATCGTGCCCCTCTCCCTCCCAGAGAAGATGTGCCTCTTCCCACGCAGCCACCCTACACGGCTTTTGTCGGGAATCTCGCTTTTGATATGTCAGAGATGGAACTCGAGGAATTTTTTTCTCCACACAAGGTGGGGATGTCGCCGTTTGGCGATCAATTGCATTCTTATTTTCCTGTCAGACTGTCTCGGTCAAGATCATTGCGGATAGGGATGGCAAGCCTAAGGGATTCGGCTACGTCGAATTTGTAGAGCTCGAGGGACTCAAAGATGCGCTCACGAAATCGGGCACAGTATGTATATCGTCTGAAAGATCTACCGACCCTGACAACCCTTTTCAGTCCTTGTCACACCGCACTGTTCGTGTTAATGTTGCAGAACCACGTAAGTCATATTCACGCACGATATACAGATAAATCTAACGTGTTTGTAGCGAAAGAACGTGATCGTGGCTTTAGTAGTGGAGGTTTCGACGATGATAAATTTTCTGGTAATTGGCGACGCGATGGTCCGCTTCCCGCCTCCGAACCCCCGCCGCGTGGCGGCTCCCGTGGTGGGGCAGGCTTTGGATTCCGGGATGGTGCTGCCACAGGGGATGACGACGGCCCCCGACGTGGAGCTCGTTTCACGCCGGGTATGGATGCTGATCGGGAGCGTGAAAGACCAGAGATGAATTCCGATTGGCGAGGGAGTCGCACATCGATGCCGCCTCCTCCAGAGCGTGAAGGTAGACGCGGGTTCGGGGTTTTGGAGAGCAGCGGAGCAGCGGATGCAGAGGAAACATGGTCAAAAGGGTCCAAATTTCGCCCTAGCCCATCTGGGAGTGATTCTGGGAGTGTAGGACGCAAGTTTGGAACAGGTTTTGCCGAACGGAGTGGGGGCGGTCCTCCTAGTGGCGCTGCGACTCCTGTTCCGGATGAAGGCGACTGGCGCACGCGGGGAAAGCCTGCGTTTGGTTCGCAGAGGCAAAATAGTTTTGAGCGATCGCGTTAGTGTCCGCAGTGCCTTTTCTCTCTCTTTTTTTTCATACCGGAACTAGTAGCGCTAACATTTTCATCGCAGCGACCAATTCGACTCCTCCGACTCCACAGCTTGCCCGGAAGAAACTGGAACTACTCCCACGCTCCGGTACAGGTTCAACTGTCACCACGCCACTTTCATCACCTTCCCCAAACTCTGCATTTCCGCCTAGCACTAGAGCCAACCCCTTTGGTGCTGCCAAGTATATTTGTTCATCTATTACATTAGTGTATGTCGTCTCATCTCGTGTTTACAGACCCGTTGATGTTTCTGCGCGCGAAAAAGAGGTCGAGGAGCGCATTTCCAAAGAGCGCGATGAGAATTCGACGACACTTGCACGACACGGGATGTCGCGGGAGACCTCACGTCAGGCTACCACCCGAGGGGAGCATCCACATCCGCTGTCGCGAGAGACGTCTCGACAGGGTTCGACGCGCGGTCCGCTTCCTCGAAAATCGTCCTCTCCTCC